ACCGGCAGGGCTGGAGCCTCATCAAATGAATTACCCAAGTACGAGGCAACGTGGAAGACGAATGAAGACTTGTGAAAATTTCGAGATCGTCTCCACTTGTTCGAGGCAACGAGGACGTCGCCGGATTAGGCGGGGGAGGATGTCACGGCCCGCTAGTTTTGACCCAACCCCTTGCCGATTTCCCTTGGGTTGGGGAGGTTACAAAGAGTCCAAGTTGTAGCCCAAGTAGGGTTAGGCCCAAGATGGCCCAATTGTATAGTGGTAGGTAGAGCTATTTTTGGTAGGTAGGGTAGGTGGTGGTAGGTAGAGACAATCAAGGGATTGCTCCACTCCCATCCGTTAGATCATATCGATCTCCACCGTCCATTGAGGAGGTGGTCTTGTATAAATAGAGGTAGGGTCCTCATTTGTATTCATTCACCAACAAATCCAATAAAGTATTCTTCTACCAACTCTCTTGCCTACTACTTTCTTTCTTCGTTTTCCATCACTAGCATTCGAGCAACACATTCGGGAGAGGCTGACTTAGCTATCGCGAGGGGCGAGAAGGAGCTAAGGCCGCACGGTTCTTTGTTAAGGGAACAAGTCCGTGACAGTAGGCTTGCTTTGAGCACTCTAATTTCTTCCCAATGATTAGAGGCATCGGGGGCGCAACGCCCTCGACCTATTCTCAAACGGACGTGGCAGGGAGGCCCACGTAAACAACAAGAAGAAGAGGGACCACAGCAAGGCTCGTGGGGAGAGTACCAGTACCGAGGCCGTGCTAACGGATCATGGCGAAAGACTCGAGAGGCTCGAGAATAACATCGCCATAGCGGAGCTTAGCGAAAGATTCGAGAAGCTCGAGCACGATACGGGAGTGTTGGAGAATCACGTCGCCGAGCAACTCGACTTGTCTAGGGACAATGAGGCGTTGCGGGAGGAACGGTTGGATCGATTTGAGGCTATCATCCAATCCCTCCAAGAGAGCATCGAGGGGATGCGCGACGACTTGGCCTTGTGCAAAAAGGCCGCCGCTAACGGTAGCGTTGGCGCTACATCGAGTCCAAGGGTGGACTGCCCGAAGCCAACGGGATTCAACGGCGTAAGGGACGCCAAGGAAGTTGAAAACTTCTTATGGAGGATGGAGCAATACTTCGAGGGTATCGGTCTAGTCGACGAGACGACTAAGGTAAGAACTTCTTCCCTTTACCTTTCCGATACGGCAATGTTGTGGTGGCGTAGAAAGCACGCCGATATCGAGAAAGGCATTTGCCGAATCGATACTTGGGAAGAGTTCAAGAGGGAACTCAAGCGACACTTCTACCCGGAGAACGTCGTCTATGAGGCTCGAAGGAAGTTGAGGGAACTCAAGCAACGAAGTTCAATCCGCGAGTACGTGACGGAGTTCACCACCCTCACCCTTCAAATTCCCAATCTCTCCGAGGAGGACCTTCTTTTCCACTTCACCGATGGGTTACAAGGCTGGGCCAAGCAAGAACTCCACCGACGAGACATCAAATCCGTCGATGAAGCTATTGCCGCCGCCGAGTCTTTAACCGAGTATCAACCGAGAGAGCCGTTGCGAAAAGAGAAGTGGAGCCCGACTAAAGGCGGAGAAGAGAGACGGGACAATCATGGTCGGGACTACCGAGACAACCGAGACCCAAGGCGAGCGTCAACCTCGAGGGGAGGAGACAAGCCATCCTCACGCCATCAACTTGAAGAGAAGAAGAAGTCGTTTGTGCCTAAGGGAGGATGCTTCGTGTGCAAGGGGCCGCACGCGATGAGTCAATGTCCCAAGATGGGGTCGTTGTCGGCACTCTTACAACAAGAGGCCGAGCAAGACACAAACGAGGAGCTAGGCCACATGGGATCGCTCCAACTTCTGAACGCCTTAAAGGCAAATCCGATGCCGGCAACATCAAGCAAGGGGCTGATGTACGTGGAGGCCCGCATCAACGGTACCCCAGCAAAGGTGATGGTGGACACGGGAGCGACCCACAACTTCATCACCGAAGACGAGGCCAAGAGGGTTGGCCTACGGTGGACTAGACGAGACGGTTGGCTCAAGGCCGCTAACGCTAAGGCACAACCGCTCAACGGTGTAGCACGAGACGCGGAGCTGCACTTAGCCACTTGGAAGGGCCAAGTGGATTTCTCGGTAGCACCAATGGATGACTTCAAGGTGGTGCTAGGCATGGATTTCTTCCGCAAGGTAATGGCTATCCCGATGCCTTGTTTTAATTCACTTTGTATCTTAGAGAAGGGGACACCTTGCATGGTGCCGGCCATCAACGGCACCACTAAGGAAGAAATCACACAACCAAGACAACTGTCGGCCATGCAAGTTGCCAAGGGAGTTCGACGGGGCGAGCCGACATTATTAGCGACTTCAAAGGAGGGAAGCCCGCCCGTCAACAAAGAGGAGGACGTGCCACCGATCATCCAAACCGTCTTGGAGGCCAACCAAGACGTGATGCCACCAAATTTGCCCAACAAGCTTCCACCTAGGAGGGAGGTGGATCATGCCACCGTCTTGGAGGCCAGCCAAGACGTGATGCCACCGAATTTGCCCAACAAGCTTCCACCTAGGAGGGAGGTGGACCACGCCACCGAGTTGGTCGAGATGGGGGAGATCCGACCATCGAAGGCAAGCGTTGTGGCCGACGCATTGAGTAGAAAAGCCGAACCCGCAGCGATTAGCTCGACAAGGGGGAACTTGGCCGACATGATCCGAGAAGGGCTCGAACATGATCCAATGACCAAGGAGCTAATTCGACTCGTCAAGGAGGGCAAGACGAGAAAATTTTGGGTAGAGGACGGCTTACTCTACACGAAGGGGCAGCGACTCTTCGTTCCGAAGTGGGGCAGCTTGAGGAAGGACCTCATAAAGGAATGCCACGACACCAAGTGGGCGGGGCATCCGGGCCAAAGGAGGACAATGGCGTTGCTCGAGACGGCCTACTTTTGGCCTCACATGCGGGACGGTGTCGATGCATGTGTGAAGACTTGTCTTGTTTGCCAACAAGACAAGGTGGAGAATAAACAACCGGCAGGGCTGGAGCCTCATCAAATGAATTACCCAAGTACGAGGCAACGTGGAAGACGAATGAAGACTTGTGAAAATTTCGAGATCGTCTCCACTTGTTCGAGGCAACGAGGACGTCGCCGGATTAGGCGGGGGAGGATGTCACGGCCCGCTAGTTTTGACCCAACCCCTTGCCGATTTCCCTTGGGTTGGGGAGGTTACAAAGAGTCCAAGTTGTAGCCCAAGTAGGGTTAGGCCCAAGTTGGCCCAATTGTATAGTGGTAGGTAGAGCTATTTTTGGTAGGTAGGGTAGGTGGTGGTAGGTAGAGACAATCAAGGGATTGCTCCACTCCCATCCGTTAGATCATATCGATCTCCACCGTCCATTGAGGAGGTGGTCTTGTATAAATAGAGGTAGGGACCTCATTTGTAATCATTCACCAACAAATCCAATAAAGTATTCTTCTACCAACTCTCTTGTCTTCTTACTTTCTTTCTTCGTTTTCCATCACTAGCATTCGAGCAACACATTCGGGAGAGGCTGACTTAGCTATCGCGAGGGGCGAGAAGGAGCTAAGGCCGCACGGTTCTTTGTTGAGGGAACAAGTCCGTGACAGTAGGCTTGCTTTGTGCCTCGGCAACTGCGCGCTCCCGGTGCTGGCCAGCGGGCTCCCCATTCGACCCGTCTTGAAACACGGACCCAGAAGGGACGAGACAACCGGTGCACACCAGAGGCGGACCGGCCGACCCAACCCAAAGTCCAACTACGAGCTTTTTAACTGCAACAACTTAAATATACGCTATTGGAGCTGGAATTACCGCGGCTGCTGGCACCAGACTTGCCCTCCAATGGATCCTCGTTAAGGGATTTAGATTGTACTCATTCCAATTACCAGACTCATAGAGCCCGGTATTGTTATTTATTGTCACTACCTCCCCGTATCAGGATTGGGTAATTTGCGCGCCTGCTGCCTTCCTTGGATGTGGTAGCCGTTTCTCAGGCTCCCTCTCCGGAATCGAACCCTAATTCTCCGTCACCCGTCACCACCATAGTAGGTGTTACAGGGGTAAATTTATCACCGAAATTTTCCCTTGATGCGTCGCCGGCACGAGGGCCGTGCGATCCGTCGAGTTATCATGAATCATCGCAACGACGGGCAGAGCCCGTGTCGATCAGCCACGTAAACGAACACAAGAGTATGCAGCGGAAAACAAACACACAAGCACGTTTACGGGCAATGCCCAACCTTTATATTAATTCCCACAACGAATACAAAGGAGACTAAGGTGCACACACAAAATCCTCACTCAGAATTGCCCAACAATTGCAATCTGAACTCTCATATGCTAGATACCTCGGATTTGTGCACTCATAGCCTAATAAATACAAGGAAAAGGTAGTTTTCACACAAAACTACCTAAGGACACATGGCAGCATACAAACATGACACTTGGCCAACTATTACAAGTATAAAGGGGCAGTTTTCTTGCATTTTCAGGCCTCAACCGCTCCGTAACTTCCTCAAATCCGCCCACAAGGCTGATTTCCGAAGCCCATCTTGATCGGGCGCGCCCGCGCGCCAAACGGCCCAAACAGCCCGGCCGGTTGCTAGGCAGCCCATCTGCCTTGCCTTTTCCGCACGTTTGCTTGCCTTTACCGATACTTGCTAGTTTTTGCCCACACGGTCATCGGTCACGCCCGCTCATCGGGCTGCCTTGCTTGCCTTGCCAATTTTGCCCACACTTGTCAAGTCGTGGTCGATTTCCCTCGAACGTTCGTTTGCCCACATTATCGGCCACATGCCGATTATTGCCCACGCTTTGTCCGTCTTTGCTGCCGAGCAACGCCCGTGCCAGCCACAAGTACTATCGATCACCGTTCCCACTTGAACCAAGCCAATCCTTGCTTTTCTCGGCCAAGCACTCCGAATGCTTGCCGATCACTCGACCACTCATTGGCCGAACGCCCGACCACTCATTGGCCGGTTGTGTGGCTGCCTTGTGCCAATCCCCACTTGGCACCATTTATCGGTCATGGCTCGGCCACACTCGAGCCATTACCGATATCACCGATTAAGGGGGTAACAGACCTCCCCCACCAACGGTGTTCGACGCCCTCGTCGAACCGCAACCATCGGCTTCAGCTTTCCACTTGTCTTGCCACCGTCTTCGATTGTGCTTCAGCACCAGCACCACATCGATTCCCAACTCCCAAGTCTGATCCCACGAATTTCCCACAAATTCTTTCAGCCCTCGGAAAAACGAACGCCAACTACGTTCAAACGGCAGCACCCAACCACAAGTGAAAATACTAGTTTTTGGCACAACTAGTATTTTATCTCGATTGCCCAGCCAATCAAGAAAGGAGATCACCAACCCACGGAAATCACCCAAGCACGGCTTCCATTTCATCCACAACAGAAACCAGCCCACGAAAAACCCAACATGCCACAGAAATTCAGAGAATACCACATTTCGAACCCACGAGTTGTGCCACACACGGCAGCAACTTAGAACAAAAGTTAGGCCACAATGCCCATTCATCAACCCAAATGAATACCTCAACTTGCCTTCTGCCCTCGACTCATTCCTCGGCAATGCACGTACAAGCAAACCAGCCCGAGAATTCACCGTCTTGTTTCCAACGGCTGCAATTAGGCTCGATGACTCCTCGTCGTTCGATTCTGCCTCCAATTGCACCGCAGCCAACATTTTCACCGGTCTCTTTCCCGCCTTTGCTTTCGTCACGTACGAGCATTCAACGAAGCATGGACGCTCATCGTCCATAATCATCAATCCTCCGAGAAACGGTATCACCGCAGCTTTGGCAGCAAGTAGGAACTCTTGCCCCAATATCACATCGAAATCATCAAGTGGTACGGCAGTTAACCCGCACTGCCCTTTCCAAGAACCGATCACTAGATCGACATCGGTTCTGCCTCTCACCGGCCCCGCTTCTGAATTTACAGCCTTCACTTGACTTGCATGTTTTGAGAGAGTCAAGCCCAGCTTCTTGACTTCTCTCTCGGCAACGAAGTTATGAGTTGCTCCCGAATCAACCATAGCCTTCACCTCTTTGCCGTTGATCAGCACCGTGGCATACATCAAGCCCTTGGTGCCGTTGGGTGCCTTGTCCACGACCAAAGCACTCAACAACTGAATCGGATTCGCACTCCTCGTCTCGTCCGACTCCTCACTATCCGACTCCCGCATCAAAGCATTCAACTTGCTCCTCTTAGGGCAGTCCCTCATTCGGTGGTTGCCATCACATAGAAAGCACCCACGGTTCTGTTTGTTGACGACGGGCTGTCCACCGGTCTTGGTTTGCACCGAGGATCCTTCGCCATCACCGCTCTCTTTGTGCTTCCAATTTCGGCCACCCTTGCCACCGAACTTTTTCCCCTTGGACTTATCCCTCTTCGAGCCTTCCTTATCGGAATCATCGGCCCCCATCACCTTGTAATCGACAAGTCTGTCCGCTGCCGAGATAGCACTTGGCAGATCCTTCACACCTTGTCTCCGCAACTCGGTTTGGGCCCATGGCTGCAATCCAGCCATGAAGTTGAACAGCTTATCTTCATCGGACATGTCTCGTATGTCAAGGAGCAGAGAACTGAATTCCTTGACATACTCCCTCACGGTTCCCTTGTGCTTCAATTGCCGAAGGGATTCCCTTGCAATCCATCCCACGTTGCAAGGTAGGAATTGCTCTTTCAACTCCCGTTTCAGCACCTCCCAAGTCTCGATCTTGACTCGGTTGGCACTTGCATCGTCTGACAAACGAGCACGCCACCACAACTTTGCATCGCCCACAAGATACATACTTGTAATGGTAACTTTCTCGCGATCCGGAACCTTCGCTGCCTCGAAGTAATTCTCCATATCCCACACGAAGTTTTCGACTTCTTTGGCGCTGCGCACACCATCAAACGCAGTCGGTTCCGGCACACGAACCTTGGATCCCGATGTTCTGCCCTCAGAACTCGAGCCTTCATTACGAACAGCCCTCTTAAGCACCGCCAGATCTGTAAGCATCCCATCAAGCTTCGTCTCAACGGCATCAATGAGGAGTCCCATCTCCTCGACAACGGACGTGAATCTGCCCTCCACAAATTCGGGCAGATCGTCCAACGATCTTGACAAACGATCGATTTCTCGCTTCCCATCAGCAAGTCTTTGTAAGATCGGTGGATCCGTTGGATCTAGGGGCGGCCCAACCAAGGCTTCAAGACGTTGCAGCCTTGATTCTAGATCTAGCAACATCACACGAGTAGGATTTGGATTTGTCGAAGAACCAAAATCTTCAGCCATGCCGAACAGCAACACGTTCAGAACCCTTGAACCGGGCTCTGATACCAACTGTTACAGGGGTTAATTTATCACCGAAAA